AAGAGTGCTTAAAAAACGTCACTGTTGGCATGATGCTTTCCAGCAACAACAAATTCAGAAATGTCAAATGCATGCAATATTGAATAATTCTGATGCACATTAACAGTTTGCTGTCTGTAAGAAGTCCTTTCAGATCTTCACATTACGAAAGAAATAATTTCAGGAAACAATTGAAATTATTGGTGTCAAAAATATTTTGAGGAAAAAATGGAAATAAAGTAGAAACAGAAAAAAAAAACAAAACAAAACAAAATACCAATAAATAAGATAAAAACATCTTCCCTTCTTTTTGGATATTTATGGATGTGTTTCTGGTATTTCCTATTTCTACTTTAATTTCTTCTGTAAGTGAACTTTTATAAAAAATGCTCCAGTGCTGTAACCCATTTTTACCAAATATCTGGGAATTTTTAAAGTCTTGGATGATGTTAAATCACTGTCACTAACTGCATTGTCACTAGAGATAAAGGCTATAGACAAATAACTATTCCATAAATAAAAAATAAAAGCTATTTTCAAATAAAAAAAATAAAGATGAAAAGCATTAAGAACTGTTTCCCATCTTATCCACAAAACCACCCATATATCCATCAACTTATTCATATATATGCAAAACACACACAGCAACTTGAAAATTATTACAAGTTAAGAACAGCACCAAACAGGTTCAGTGGTAAACTCTGCACACCAAAGTTTAAGAGAAAAATATATTTTCTAAGTGTCTGATGTGCAACTACCATGTGCTACAAAAATAATCTGCACTTTACAGGTTTCTGCTATTTTGTGTAGAATGCTTTGAGGATTAGCTTTAATGTCCTCTGTAATACAGAAACCCTTATAATCAATCGTCTCAACAATAGCTTCAAAGTTCTTATTTTCCTCTTCACAATTATTACTTGAAAAAGTATGGGCATACATGAAATTTCCATAGACATAAATTTAATCATAGAAATATTAAATAAATCAATCAATAACAATTATGGGTGAGTATTAGAAGGAAACAATGCAAAAGCATGGACAATTGCCTTTCATCAGCCAAAACTCAGGATTGAGGACATCTGCAGACTGATATAATGGCAGCTGACCTGTGTATTAGCTTCCTCTTTCAACTCACATCCAAACCTACGTGTTTCACATGTTCTTGGCAACAATGACTGTTGCAGGTCTATATTGACTGTGAAGGCAGAGAGCGATTTAAGAAACATAAAATTGATGCAAATCTTTGGTATTTCTATACCACTTTTCCCTCTGCCCATTCCATTGACCCCAAAGAAATAAGACCCATAAAAGTAATGTGATGTCTTGAGAATGAGCCTGAGTCTAAGCAGGAAACTAAGTTATGAAGAGGTGATACCCAGTTTAAAACATCAGCAACTTTATAAGCTCACCATATGTAATTTCTTTTCTTCTATTTAAGCATTTACTACTTAAATAAAATTTAAGCATATTATTTGCTTCTAAATATTCCATCATACCCCACATTACTCGTTTGAATTATTTTGTTGTTGCCTGATTCTCATATTGCTTTATTATTTAACTCCAAATGCTGCACTTATGAATGTAACATACATTTATAGTTACAGAAATTTACATCATAAATTTACAATTCACATTGTGGTACTATCTACCTAAAGATATAAAGATGTTTTTAATCTGTTCATATAACTATTTGTACCTCCAAAAGAAGAATCAAGAAGCAAAATTTAGGAAGGACAGTTTAATGTCTCCTAACATCATAAATACCCTGTTTTCAACTAGTCTGAACACAGATTTTCAGCTACATTTGTAATTAAACTATGATTTTAAATACTACCAATTTAATAACTCATGTGTCCCCCTATTTTTTTTTCTCAGAATTAGTTTCTGGTTTTGTTTTTGCTTAAAACTGTCACTTTATATGACTTATGTTCTCCAGTGAGAACGTCAAGGGAAAATTAAACCAATCTTTTGGCACAATAAAAGCAAATGACTGCTGTTTAACACGTGCCAGGAGCCTGATGGCACCACCAGCCCTGACTGTCCCTGCCTGGCCCCACAAAGGCTCCCACACAGCCCAGGACCCCATGTCAGTCCTCAGTGCCATCAATGCCTGATCCATCAAATTTGCAACAGGGCCAGTCTCCAGCTCCTCACAGCACTGTCCAGCCTGGCCAGCGCTGCCACCCCGCTGGACCCACCCATGGGTCCATGTTCAGTCCCTCCCTCGGCCTGTCCCTGTCCTCCAGGGAGGTGCCCAACACCCAGGGCTGAGGCTGTCCCAGTGTCCCAGGCTGTCCCCCTTCTGGTTGGGGGGTGAGATGGGCCCTGGCTGAATTATAGCCTCAGAGAATCATAGGAAATCATACGACATCTTCACCAACTGTACTTACTTGTATATAAATAATCTACTGTAGGACTGTGTGCTACATCTTCTACCATACGTTTGTAGCATTATTTCCTGCTTTGCATTTTAAATTTCATCTTTCCCCAAATGGTACAGTTGGGTGAGATTCAATTCACTGAATTTACGCTTCTAAATATTGGCTATATGAGTCTAATATATTCATTGCATGCTTCCTCTTTAAATAACCAGAAGGAAATACACACCTTCACAGGGCAATTCCTGTTGTCTGAGACAGGCTCAAAAAAGGTAGTCAGTTATGTCCATTAATCGAGGAGTCTAAGGCAACTAGGTGAAATTTCCACAAGTAACTTTTAGACTTTCAAGGTTAGATGAGCTTAATTTCACCCAACAGATGCAATCTCAGTCATTGCTCCCCATGCTTAACTT